AATGAAAGAAAAGCAAATTATGTATTTCATCAAGAGTGTTGGGGTGAAACAGAAATAACCTTCAAAAAACAAATCGGGTATTCCCGCTACCGTGGGGCAAACAAAAAAGTATAAGCAAAAAAAAAATGCTCTTTTTTTTTTGGAAATAAAACAAAAAGAAAAATAAAAAAAGGAACCTAAGCATCACCTTCTGTAATGGGTAAAGACGCACCAATAAGGCAAAAGTCTATTTGCGAGTTTTGCGTGTGCCACGAGCCTGCATGCTCTTGCGGGCCTCGGCGGCGATCAGCTTCTCCTCGCGCTCCTGAATCACGTTGATGCGGAGACCCTGCTGCTTAGGCAGCGTCACTGGAATGCTCTGCATGTCCTTGCCGATCACAAAGATGTTGGACGCCCGGGTAGCAAACTCGTGGCCAGCAGCATCCTTCAAACGCGCAATGTCAAACGCGCCAGGGTGGCGCTCAATCGACATGATCTCGCCAATACGGCCGCGGTTCGCTCCTCCTGTAACCATCACCACCTTGCCGTTGCCGGTCTTAATGAGATCTGTCACCTTCTTCTCCTTCATGTTGTACACCAAAGTGTCTCCGCGGTGGGTGCGGGGGTCAGGGTAGCGGATGCGGTGCCCGTCGTGTGTTACGGCAACAGGAATGCGGCCAGTGCTCGTGTAGACGTTCTCAACCTTCAGTAGTTTGACGTTCCCCTCAGCCTCACTTACCTTCACCAGTGCGAAACGGCCCTTCACATCGTATAGAACGCGAAAGCGATCACCAGTCTTTGGGATCTCCACGACGTCCATGAAGCCAACCGGATACTTTGTATCCTTGCGGGGCTTGCCATCTACACACACAAGGCCTTGGCGGAGAATCATCTGGGCTTCATTGGCGTTCAGCGCGTACTTCAAACGGTTGCGGATGATAATCATGAGAGTCATGCACTCGCGCAGCTTGTGGGGTCCAGCACGGGGACGTGGAGCGAACACGCCCGTGAGCTTGCTCAGCATCCAGTCCTTGGGGGCATAAAGGCGCTTCAGGTGCTTCTTGGCCATGACGAAGAGATGCAACTCACTGCTAGAAATGAAAGAAAAGCAAATTATGTATTTCATCAAGAGTGTTGGGGTGAAACAGAAATAACCTTCAAAAAACAAATCGGGTATTCCCGCTACCGTGGGGCAAACAAAAAAGTATAAAGCAAAAAAAAAATGACTCTTTTTTTTTTGGAAATAAAACAAAAAGAAAAATAAAAAAAGGAACCTAAGCATCACCTCCTGTAATGGGTAAAGACGCACCAATAAGGCAAAAGTCTATTTGCGAGTTTTGCGTGTGCCACGAGCCTGCATGCTCTTGCGGGCCTCGGCGGCGATCAGCTTCTCCTCGCGCTCCTGAATCACGTTGATGCGGAGACCCTGCTGCTTAGGCAGCGTCACTGGAATGCTCTGCATGTCCTTGCCGATCACAAAGATGTTGGACGCCCGGGTAGCAAACTCGTGGCCAGCAGCATCCT